CCACTATACAGGACTTGACACTGGAGATAATAAAAATAGGTTCTCACTACGACACTACACAAAGTATATTGAGAGAAAAACGCCTTGAATTGGAGAAATAGCAAAATCAACCATTACAGTAATTGCTCCTAAATTAAAGTTAGGCGCTATTTATAAAAATGAATCTTCATGCCTGAACGGCCACCCTTCGAGGTGGATGATTTTCTTCAAAATGAAATGGAACCACTATGGAAGTACCCCCTTTCTAACAAAAAAAGAATCATGAAAATCGGTTCACAAATACCGGAGTTATCGCGTAACATACATACAAAAAAAAAGAAAAAAGAAAAAGAAAAGAACATACTGTCGAATTGAAAACCTCCTCCTTTTTTAAAGTCGGTTAAAAACTCACTTTATTTTTGGTAAAGATTATGGGGCACTTTTCGTCGGCCTAATTCGTTAACCTGCTAAGTCCATTTTTTGGCAAAATTACTTTTTGTACCGGTCAAAAAGTTCAGACGATTACCTACCTTATAGTAAAGGTAAAAAGACGATATTAACCTAAAAAGGTTAAAAAATGCCATGCCCGAAAATCTGATTTCTGAACAATTGCAAATCTACACATTGAAAAACTGCTAAGTCCTACTGGGCGCCCAGTTTTGTACTGATAATGTGCCTGTTGCAACACGTTCAAAGTTTAGTAATGTTTTACTTAAATATTTAGTGATATTTGGGTGAGTGAACAAGAAAATTGTTAACAAGGTAAGTTTATTTTGTTTTATCTGCAAGTTAATTTTCATATAGTATCCTAATCAAGCGTTTTTAAATACATTCAACTCGTAACCTAAATATTAGGGACTTGGCAGGTTTACGTACTCTAATATCCTATATGTTAATGGATTTAGCAGTTTATCGATTTCATATTTTTTATTGATTTACTGATTAAACTCATTAAACTTAATAGGTAAAGGATTTAATTCATTAAAGTATTTATACAAATGTGATAAATAAATGCACAATCAATTGTAAAATATGTTTTAGGTCTGTCTGTGTATTATTAGTTTTGTTATGTAATTTTATTTAAAAAAAAGTTTTTGCTCTCGTTTTCAGGATGCCACGCGAGAAAAAAATTGTAGAAATGGCCACCAAGGCTTCTGAATTATTGGATGGATTAAATATATTTTCAGAGTCAAATTATGATCAAAATAAAGTCATAGACTTTTTCGAAGATGTTGATACAATTTGTTCTTATGATCCGTACAATTCTACAAGTTCAGTGCATAATGTGTACAATACTTCCATTACAAATGAGAATTTAATTATAGTCCCATCACAAATTCAAATAGAATCACAAGCAACTAATATTTTGACCTCAAACAACATAAATAGTTCAGATATGCATGCTAGACAAATATTTGAAATAATATCTTATGAACAAAGCCTAAATCCACTTCAAACTATTTGTAATACCGCAGATGCAACGTCAAACATTTCATTAACAAACAATATGCATTCCAGCCCTTTAGGAAAAATACCTGTTTTTGACACCAACCACGTTGTACCTAATCCACCGATATCGGATGATAGTGATACAGACAAGAAACTCGTGCCTTATTCTGACTCTGACTCCGACTCGCTTAGTAAAATAAACAAAAGTAAGAAACGAAAAAAACGTTTTGAAGTTGATAAAAAGGAATGGATTTCTGAAAAGAATAAACAAAGAAGAGAAAAAGGTAAAACATATTTTGGAAGAAAGAAAAAAGAAGACTGTTGGACTTACATTAAACCAAAAGAAGCACGTTCCATTAAATCAAGATGCACCTGTAAAATTGGGAAGTATAGTTCTTTAAAATGTGACACAATATATGAAGGTAAGGAAAGAAATTTTCAAACAATTTTGGAGCCTTTCTTGGGGTGAAAAAAAGACCCTCATCAATGAGTGGGTTACATCTACGAAGACAGTCCGGCCTCGAAATAGAAACACTAAAGAGACAACAAAAAGAGCTAAAACCCTTCTTTATCATCTGAAAGTCAATGATGAAAATGTCAAAGTGTGTCGAAAGATGTTTTTGAACACTTTAGATTTAGGAAGGTGGACTGTACAGAATTGGAAACAGGAGTTTTCAATGCAACCTCCTAGTACATTGAGACGTCCAAGACAATCATCTGAATCTGTTTCGGAGCCCAAACAATCGCTAATTCAATTTCTGGACGCTCTTCCTGTAATGGAATCTCATTATTGTCGAGCAACATCACAAAAGTTATACTTACTTCCAGAATGGAATTCTAAAGAAGCCCTCTACCAGTTTTATGTTGACGATTGGTGTAAAAAGCGAAATATAAAATCCCTTTCCAAATGTCTATTCTCGAACGTATTTGAAAGCAAAAATTTGGCACTATTTAAACCGAAAAAAGACCAATGCGAGAAATGCGCATGTTATAAAGTAGGGACAGTTACAGAAAAAGAATACAGGGTTCATATTGAGAAAATGACAAGAAGGGAGTCAACAACTACGTTTTTATAGTAGACTTACAAGCAGTATTAATGGCACCAAAATCAAATGTCAGTACACTATATTATAAGACTAAGCTGCAAGTTCACAATCTTTGTTTTTTTAATTTAAAAAACAAAGATGGCTTCTGCTTTATTTGGACTGAAGTAGAAGGTGGACTGAATGCTGAAGAATTTGCTTCCATTTGGGTGTGACCAACTTCTAAATTTTTTTGTTCTATGGCTATATTCTTGTGCTTCATGACGATATTCAAAAGAGCATTGGATAAAATACAATTCCTATTTTGGTACGTGCAACCGTCACTGTAAATTATAATTGTTTTATTTCCATCTTCAGCAGTAATCTCAGATATTACTTTGTTTTCTAAAAAGTCTACCCATTATATTTATTATTATATTATACGATTAGCGACCTCATCGCTGATACATCGCGTTTGCATCGCCGTTACAAGTCGCCGTGTGTAAACGCCCTAAGAGTCGTGACGAAGTTGGAATTTAGAATTTTTTATCTGTGAAAAAATATTTTAACTGTACTTAGTTAAAATATTTTTTCACAGATAAAAAAATCCAAATTTATCTTAATAAACGCTTTGGTAGGGAATTACGTCCCGCCTACTAAATATTCCCAGTAATTATTTAATCAGTTCGTGAATGATAGCACTTGCAAACAAACAATAATAATGTATCATGCAGTACGTGTCAGTATTATCACGAACTCAGCTCAGTGCTCGTCAAAAGTTCATGTGTGATAATTTCTTGTTAAGTTTTTAGCACTGCTGCAGTACGAGTGTTTAAATAATTGTGTCAAATAGAATACTCGTAATAAATAATGGGTAATATTGAGTTACCACATTGTGACAGATGTTGCTGTTGCCTACCAATCAGACATGGTTTAATAGTGTGGGCGTTTCTGAAACTGGTAAGTTAATCACCTGTATTACATCACCATATACATCATCAAATAATAACGTACCTTTTGTAACTGTGATCAACAGCAAAATAATGTTCATTGGAAGTGATCTCCGTAGTAAATTCATGTACTGTTTTTTTTATAATAAGTGATAGGACAAACAAATCTTGCGCCTGACGGTAAGGGACACGCCTGTCCGTTACAGTTGCAGTGCCACCCAGAGCATTAAATCGCATAGAACTGAGGGGCACTGTCACTGCACCCGTGACCCTGAGACATAAGTTGACAAGTCTCATGTGCCTGTAATTTCACCAGCACCCTTACGCTTCAAAACTGGAACACAGTAATACTGACATTACTGCTTGGTGACAGAAATAGGTGAGGTGGCAGTACTTCCCTGGACGAACTCTCTCACAAGGAGCTCTACTACTACTTCTGTAGCAGTTTGTTCTGTATAAAATAAAACTCCTTCCGTCTGTCGACCAGTCTGTCATAAGTACATGCTACTTTTGTTGTTGCAAACTAGGGCAACTCGTCTAAAAATTCATTTCGTATTCTATTCTAATGGACAATAACCTTCCAGTCGTAGCACCCTTGCGCCGAACATAAGCAGACGCGCGCGGTCTGTGAGACCGCAATTTTACGCGTTTAGTTTGAGAAGATAAATGAATATTTTCATGACGTTGATAAAAAGAAGTCTCTTATCTGTTTATACGAAAATAAAAAGAACGTTACAACAACAAGTTAATAATACTTATAATTTTTTTGTACTTATTAAATTTTAAACGTTAACGTTAAAAATCAATAAAATAACAAAAAAAGATGAAATTTTCTATCTTAATTGTTATTATACACTATAATTTTATTATCGAGATCAATCAAAATTATCATCACAAAAACTCTAAAATCACAATTATTTACGATTTTTTTTTCATACATTCTTCGTACTATCTCAATTCCAATAAAAAGGAAAACAAAATAAAAAAAATCTAACCTTTTTATGAGCAGATACTACGATAACCTTGTCATTATCAGTATCAATAGTTTGACATCACCAAAATCTTCATATTCATCTTCTGTTTCCGCCTCACCTGCAAGCCATTCTGATTCTTCGTAACTCATTGTCTACAAAAAATAGTATCATAATAAGTAATTGAATATATGTTACATAAAATAATGTCATTTTGTAAGTAATACAGTACAAATAACGTGAAATATTCATCCAAGTTTCAATTTCATTCCATGAATTTTTCTGAAACACGACAAGTCGAGCGCGGAATCGGAGACCGCAAACATGTATAAAGACACATAAGCGCCTGAGTCAAGTGTCACAGGGGTACTAAGGGGATGGTACCTCACCACCTCGAGGATATCACGGCCGCACTATTGTGTATAGTTTTTGTAAAATGACTAAAATAAGGTCGCTGCGATCTTTAAGACCGCGCGCGTTCGCTGGAAGATTTAATACAACAAAAGGATCTCACGTTAGGCAAAGTCCGAACCCGTTTGTGAATATGACTTACGGCTAGTAAACCAAACAAACAAGGCCACATCTGGAAAATGACAATTTTTTAGGAGAAAGACATTAATTTTTCAGTAAGAAACTGATATCATATCAAATAATTTATTTTTTTTCAGATTTTTTTCATCCCTCCAACAGCGATGATTGCAAAAGTAATCGTGACATACGGGACGATGCTTGATATTTCAGAACTTGTCTGGTTCATCGGCCATGCCGCACTGATGATAATTAACTGTTCAGTGACCGTTTTTTGCATAGTTGCGATGTTCATGGTAAGTTTTCTTTCCAAAATATCATTATCACAATCTATTTCTACTTTTTTTTTATAAAAAAATACTCACCTGATGGAAAGTGGCGATGACGTCGACGATGTAGCAGCATGCACACCTAATAATGCCTATTTATTTTCGCCTTCAAAAGGTCCAACTTATAGCGTTTAAGTAATAAGTCCGCAGGCAGGGAATTCCACTCCCTAGCCGCTCGCCATATAAATGTGGAAGCGAAATGCTTCGTGCGAATCCTGGGAAATCCATAACATAGGAGTGGAACCCCAGCCCACGTCTCCGATGATGAAAAGAGGAAGGCGAAATCAAATTATGCAATTCCATCGCATGCTCTCCGTGATATATCCTGTAGAATACCGATAAGCAGACAACTTTACGGCGGTGTTCAAGTCTCTGCAGCTTCGTCTCTACCATTTCCGAGCTACCTATAAGCCTCTTGGCATGCTTGTCGATTGAATCCAAGGAGGCTGGATGGTATTTAGCAGAGCCATTCCTTTTTAGATAGGATTGGAAAGGATTCCAAGGTTCTTGGCTGCATTTTTGGCCATGAATTCAATGTATCTGTCGAAGTTCAGATTAGATGACAGGATTCCATTTTGGAATGGATCTACTTGGATAGCTGAAGACCGTCGGCTGGGTAGCGTTCGGGTAATTACACCATATCTTCTTGTCCAAAATACCACAGTGTCTCAAGACAAAAGTCTTCGACCTGTGTGTGTTGCCAGTGATGACTTACGGCACTGAGACGTGGTCGCTCACTATGGGCCTCGTAAGAAGGCTCAAGGTCACTCAAAGGGCAATGGAAAGGTCTACGCTCGGAGTTTCGTTGCGAGATCGAATCAGTAATAAGGATATCCGCAAGGGAACCAGAGTAACCGACATGGACCTAAGAATTGCAAAACTTAAGTGGCAATGGGCAGGGCACATTGCAACCCGGGCGGCGTCGTGGTGAATGTTCACTGATCCCACGGCGCCGACTCAACCGGCGAGAGGGAAACCCGAGGGGGTTTTAGTGGGGTAGGCCCTCCAGTCTGGAGGGAGAGTCCCTGGTAGACGCGGCGTGGGCAGACCACTCACAAAATTAACTGATGATCTGGTGAAGGCTGCGGGAATCCACTGGATGCAAGCAGCGCAGGATTGATTGCTGTGGTAGTCTTTGGGGGAAGCCTATGTTCAGTGTATGTCTTTTGGCTGAAATGATGATGGTATCACGAAAAGTCGGAGTCAGGTGAAAGAGACTCCGTTTTGTGAAGAATAGACACGCCTGCGTTTTGGTAGCATTAAATTTGACAAGATTGGCATCGCCCCATTCGAAGACTGCCTTAAGAAGAATTTCAAACGACTAACCAAGGATTCTCGACAAGACAGGATTTCTTCTCCGCTGACCCTTGCATTGGTCAGGTACCTGTCTAGAACAGTGCTGTTATCAGCATACACAAAGGCATTTCGAATTGACATATCATTGATGCAGCTGAAAGAGAGTTGCGGGCAGTACGGAACCCTGAGGAACTCTGGTATCTATCGCCCGATGTTCGGAAGAATAGCCTTCTAAAACCACTCGAATCGAACGTTCACTCAAGAAATCCGAAGATAAGTTTACTTCCTCCAGAGCATAAGTTTAGCCACTGAATGTTTCCCCGTTGCCAGCCACCTAGGCGCCGAAGGTTTTCGGTTTTAATGGGTAAGGAAGCTGATAAAGTACAGGCTCATAGGATTTGTCAACTTTACGTCTCCGGGTGACGGTTTTTTTTATAACATCAAGTGACGGGGCGAACAAGTTGTGAGCCTGATGATAAACTACACGCCTGTCCAAGACAATTACAGTGCCACTCAGAGCTTTATATTGCAAGGATCTGAGGGTCACTGCCACTGCGCCCGTCACCCTGAGGCGTAGGTTGACAAGTCCTATGTGCCTGTAATTTTATCAGCACCCTTACCTTTCAATACCGGAACGCAGTATTGCTAACATTACTGCTGGCGGCAGAAATAGGTATGGTGGCAATACTACCCTGGACCAACTTTTTCACAATGAGCTCTACTGCTACTAAAAACGGGTGCATTGGTAAAGCGCCTCAGACTTGCGACTTATCGCCTTGTATAGTGATTGTAATCTGAGGGTGAACGTATGTATGTGTTTAATTTTCTAAGATTGTTTTATATTTATGTCTATCTTTTTTTAATCTTTATTTATTTAGGAACTTTTAAACGTGTACGTAAGTTCCATCGTAAACTAAACTATAGCTTAAATGTCTGGGTGCGCTGCTGGAGAACCGATGCAACAAATATTAACACTATCGTATCAAATCAAAAGCTTGTAATATCGATAACAGCATTTTGAGAAAAAGCTACATAAAGATTTTTTAAGTTTTTTTCGTCATTTTTAAGGTTAATAACATTGACTTACAAGTAAATGGACGACGGGTCTAATACAAAAACCACGAAAAAAATGTCCCAAGTCAACCTATTTAAGCGTAGTGACATGTAAAGGAATATGAAAAAGCAAAACGTTGAATTTAAATTGTAATGTCATCGCAGTACTGTCTAATTTTGCTTGTTTCGCTGTCAGTCGAACAAACGAAGACTATAGCGAGAATGACGCTCTGTATACGATTTTAACGCCCTATAAGTTCGGACACTTTTTAGCGCGGACCTGACGTCCATATAATTGTAAGTCAATGGTTAGTAATATAAAAAGATACATTTAACTCACGTTGTCTTCTTCTTATCATATCGATGGCATAATGCTTGCCATAATTAATTTTTGTACAACATTTTAGTAGCAGTAGACCTCATTCTAAAAGAGTTCGTCCAGGGAAGGACTGCTACCTATTTGTGCCGCCTGGCAGTAATGTGAGCATTACTTCGTTTCGGTTTGAAACTCCAACAAACTTATGCGAGTTTTCAACTTATGCGAAGTGGCAGCGCCCCTCAGATCTTGCGATTGCGATGCGGTGTGTCGCTTACCATCAGACGCACGGTATTCGTCCCGTCACATTGTATTAAAGAAATCTGCGCCCGTCACCCTGAGACAAGTCCCATTTGCCTGTAATTTCACTAACACCCTTACCCACCGAAACCGGAACGCAGTAATGCTGACATTACCGCTTGGCGGCAGAAATAGGTAAGGTGGCAGTATTTCCCTGGACGAACACTTTCACAAGTACCTCTACTGCTACTTAAAATACGACACGAATACCAGTTACGACAATGTTTGGTTTCATATGCGATATATTATTATATTTAGATAAGCTTGGATTATAACTACAAATGTAAATTTATAGTCAACCGATATAGAGATTTATTTAAATAAATTAATATAATAATGACGTACAATTTACCTCTATATGTATATGTAATAAGCATATTAATCCTGTTTTGCATTTTTTATTTTCAGAAACGCCACAAATTAATGATATTATATTTAAGATACGAAGTCATTACCATTGTTATTAATACAGTTGCTTTGGTCATCATAAGTAGATTACATATAGCACATGCTCAAGATATTGGTCACATTCGTTTCATTGCAATGTGGATTACATTTTTCTTCATTTTCATTGGTAAGTATAAATTTTTATGAGAGCGACCTGACCGCGTGTCTCCGTCGTATCGTAAGATAGATATCACATTTCTGCACCGGCAAAGCAGCCGTTACGATTCACCGACCAATTGATAACCTATAGATAACTTTTTAATTTCACATATTCAACAAATATTGGAATTAACGGTAGAGATAGCGAGATAGACATGCAATAACAGTGATACGCAATAATGTGTCAAACAAATGATCATAGTTTTGAGAAAATGGCGCCTAAAATTTTTTCCTGTTTTTTAATAGTCGGTTATTATAAAATGGAAACTTTAGCTGTTTATCACCTTTATAGTAATTGTTGTGATTCATTATTACAATTCCCAAAATAGATTAAAAGAACAATGCCCAAGTTCTATACAGTCCTGGACCAGTTAAAAAAAGTTCATGGTTAATTTGTATTTCCATATATTTAGTTTTTAATTTTACTGGATTTATATTTATTTACTAGGGAAAATTAATTGAAGCAACATTTTCTTTTTACCCGACTGCGGGAGGGTTATGTTTTTAAACGGCTATAAAAAATCATATATATATTTTTTTTTATATTTCCAGCTAAATATTTTCCAAACAAATGTATTTTTTGACTTGTTATGTTAAAAAGGATCTTTAAACTATGTTTGCTACTTTGTAGTACAGAGTTCAATATTATTCTAAGATAAGTATAGTTGGATAAACATGATATAAGTTCTATGAATAAAACATATTATTCAATAATAATAATAATAATAACGCACACACTCAACATAGCCCCGCACTAGGGAAACCCTGTGTCGCGAGTGCCATGGACACACACATAGACAACCACAAATTACACCCAAACTCACGAGAGAAATAAATGTAGGCCATACACATATTTCTCCCGGCCTGGGAATCGAACCCAGGACCTCTGCATGGCAGTCCGGCATGGTAACCGTTCGGCCAAGGAGGCAGTTAAGTTAGTTTTTAACCGACTTCAAAAAAGGAGGAGGTTCGGAGGTATGTTTTCTTTTTCTTTTTTTTTGTATGTATGTTACGCGATAACTCCGGTATTTGTGAACCGATTTTCATGATTCTTTTTTTTGCTGGAAAGAGGGTACCTCCGTAGTGGTCACATTTAATTTTGAAGAAAATCATTCACCTGTAAGGGTAGCTGTTCACGCTTGAAGATTCATTTTTATAAATACCGACTAAATTTTATTATAAAAAGCAATTATTTTAATGGTTGATTTTGGTATTCTCCAATTCAAGGTGTTTTTCTCTCTCAATATACTTTGAGTAATGAGAACCGATTTTTATTATCTCTAGTCCCGTATAGCGGCAAACTAGGGGATGAATCCGGGTTTGCGCACTTTCCGGTAACCGATTTTAAAAAAAGTTGGTGGTTTTTTAGTACTCTGTACCGAGATTATATAACGTATGTATATGAATTTACAACCGGCCGCGACAAAATAATTTGAAAGAGTCCAAAATGGGTTCTTTGTAATAATTATTCCCGTTTTGTAAATTGCAAAATATAACAGTTCAAAGTTTCGAGTACAAAAAAACATGACGTACCATACACTTAACACCTTTTTGGTAAATTTCAAAATACGACTGCATTCTAAAGAAATGTGTCAAATCATTCAGTGCCATTTTACTCATTTACCATGCATTTACCAACATTTTACCAACCATGGCTTTTAATCTGTTTTAATTAATTTGATATTGCGAAAAAATGATCAAAATTAAATTTTTTCTTAATCTATAACAAAACTTAGACAAAATATTTATTAACTTTCCTTTTCGAGGAACTGTGTGCTTAAAATATAAATTTATATAATAAAAATTTACATGTTACACGCTACAAATTAAAAAACGCAGAACAGGGTAACTGACATAATTATTGCAATAGAAAACTTGTTATGAGCTAACTTACTTTACACATGCTATTGCTTATCGGTATCGTATAATATAGCACATATAATTGTCTAAAACGTCCTGTTATTTTTAAAAAACTTCTAAATATGTTATCATAACAACAAAAGCATCATCTTGACATAGGCGACTGTTGACATAATTTTTAAATTTTGTTTTGCTTTTTAATTAATTTATTATTTTATCCAGGTAGTCAAGTGTACGTCGCGTTGCTTGTGAAGAGTAAACTAAAACTGATGGCAGACAAGGAATGCTTCAAGTTTCAGAACAACGCTGCTGAAGCCGAATGTACTTACTATGGTCATCATGATGACGTCAAGGAAGTTGTCATCAGTAACAACGTAATGCCTGAAAACAGCGACTCTCGTGACGAAAGCTGTCATGCTTTAAACAAACTCTAACGACTATTATAGTAAAAGATTACTTGTGATGGAATTCGTGTTGAATGAAAACTAAAAATTTTTTTAAATTTTAGAATTTCTAAAAATATAAAGACAGAAAAATAAATGAAATATGAAAAGAGAATGGCGTGTTCTTAATAATAATAACGCACACACTAAACATAGCCCTGCACTAGGGAAACAACCACAAATTACACCCAAAGTCACGAGAGAAATAAATATAGGCCATTCAAATATCTCTCCCGGCCCGAGAATCAACCAACCATCAACCATATCAACCATGAGACCTGTATAAGGAGTCGCTTTCTCGATTAAATTAAATGTTGCTTTCTCGAAAAAACAAATATCCGCGATTTTAGTTCCGAAAAAATAGTTTCATGGAAGCATTGACTTACAAATAAATGGACGACGGGTTTAATACGAAAACTACGAAAAAATGTCCCAAGTCAACCTATTTAAACGTAGTGACATGTAAAGGAATATGAAAAAGCTAAAACGTTAGATTTAAATTGTAATGTCATCGCAGTACTGTCTAATTTTGCTTGCTTCGCTGTCAGTTGAACAAACGAAGACTAAAGCGAATGACGCTCTGTATACGATTTTAACGCCCTATAAGTTCGGACACTTTTTAGCGCGGACCCGACGTCCATATAATTGTAAGTCAATGCATGAAAGGAATAATGTTAATTCCTAATATAATTTGATAGACAGATAAACACTACTGACAATTTTTTTATTAAGTTGTGAAGGTACCCCTATCCCACTGGTAAAACTACACACACAGTGGACTCTACAATTTTATGATTTAGGGTGACATGGCAGTGGCAGTGCCCCTCAACATTTTGCGATAGAAAGTTCTGAGTGGCATTGCAGCTGTTATGGATACGCATGTCGCTTACCACAAGAGGCACAACTTACTCGTTCCGTCACTTGATAACATAAAAAACCCTCGACTTAGAAGAGACCCGTGTGAAGCAGTAAGACGCCTTCGGACTGATGTTGATGATGATGACCTTACTGTAAACTAATTTTTTTTTAATAACTGAACACTACGTATGTAATATACACATAACATTTTGAAATATATATAGAAATACTAATATTACTACTTGCATATCCGAAGATGGGCGGAGAAAACGAGGATGGCCAAGAGAGGGCCGAAAAGGAGAATTGGACAAGTTCGACAAGGAATGGGAAGGTGATGATGTGAGAAAAAAAATAAAGAAAGAAGAACAGTGAAACTTGTAGGCTGTAAAAAAATTGCACTGATTTCTATTTGTTTGTTCACGGCCATTATTTTATAGATTTGGTGGTCGTCCGCCGTGCGGACAGTAACACACCGGCTCCGCCCATTTCATAATTATAAATAAGCAATTACAGAATGGTAATCCATCGCCGCGCTCTAGCCCCGCCCATTTTCCGCTAAGCATTGATCCGTTCACGACTACCGACGAGTCTGCATTACCTCCGATGAGCCTCATCCTTTGGCGCAGGATGTGAGCTCGTGTGAGATGATCGACAAAGATTGTAGTATTTGAGATTGGAGTCGCCAAATATTTACATGACGAAAACGAAATCCCTGCCTACAAACAATGTTCTTATTTTCTTAAATCTTAAATTCTGGCTGTATGGGTCCTAACCTTTGCGAAAAGAATTTATATTAAGAACAACTGCAAAATAGAAGGACATTTCATAGGCAGTATGGTCTCTGACCTTCGCCTGTTCCAAACGGAACAAAGAAAAAAAGCAATACACCATTTTGACATAATCAAATTTTAAGTTTGAAATAAATGTGGAAGTGTGATATAAAGCCCATTTGACCGATGAGTGCCAGGGATGGGCGGCCCTTATTTCGTCTCTATTTCTGCTTATATACTCGATGTTAAATACTAACAACCTCGCAGGCTACATTACTGCCCTGACATCAACGGAAGGAGGTCTACAACCCCTATAAGCGGTTTTTTTATATTTTATTTAGTTTCAGTTTTAATGTTAAGCAAACCTGCGTAATTGACTTAAAAAAAATACAATAACAATATTTCGAAAGTGACCACAATGCAAATGCGTTGTTTATGACAAGGAGGGCAGATTACTAAGAGATCAGCTAATAGCTACAAATATTGGTCCCAATTAAATTTGAAGAAAATATTGCATAAATATTCTCTAAGGATGGCTAAAAGTAGAGGATTAAAAAAACAATTTAATTGTTTATTTCGAAAAATTACAATACTTATTTCACATTACTAAAGCTAAAATTTTCATATTTTAAAATTATGCACCGTAAATCCCAACTACAGCGACTTTCTTATCATTATTACTCACTCCAAAATCTTGTATTTACTTACACAGCTCTCATATAATATATACCCTAGCCAAGTGCCGTCTAATCAATCTGTTACAGATCATTTAATTTT